TCACCCGCATTACTTTCTCTCTCTCTCTCTCTCTCTCTCTCTCTCTCTCTCTCTCTCTCTCTCTCTCTCTCTCTCTTTCTCTCTCTCTCTGGGGAAATTAGCGTGAAACATTCAACAACCGCGATTAACGCGCGTCATTCCGCCGAAGAGGTCGATTGTTAAAGCGTCGTGTTAAAGCGAACGGCAACAATAATTAAATATTTAAGAACTCTGGATTTAAATGATTTAATGGCGCGACGATTTAGGACAGAGAGTATATGAATATCTACTTCTGCGAATATATTATTTAACATGACGATATACATCCATTCTGTGTGTGTACGAATACCGACTTTCTTGCGTCGATCAGTTAATTGATCGATTATGTTCAATTAAATATGAATAAAATGAATAAAACGGTCGCGCTTTCGCCGGTGAGGAAATTTCAACGAAATTCGCGAGGATAAATGTTTTTCGATGATAATGAAAATCGCGATTATACGACCGCCATTGGCACGGCAAGTGGCAGTTCCTGGCGGCGTGTTTTAATGGAATTATCAGGAGGATGAATAAATAGCGTGTGCGATAATTGGAGTCGCGAATTTTGACTGGCCAATCGACCGACTGGCCGCCCGTCTTTCGTGCGGTAGATTTTAAAAGAATCCACTGAGAATCCCAGTATTCTGCTACAATAATGAGAAGATTACTGACATCCGTGATATCCGATTTTAGTCGGTCAACAACTTTCCTTGAAATTACAAAGACATGAGCGGGCCGCAGGCGGGTGAATAAGAGAAACAGAACGGCCGTCGTGCAATCTTAATTAACCCGCGCTCTAGACACACCGGAAGGGGAGAAATGGATAATCTTGTTAAAATTGTAAATTTCATTTTTGGACCGACCATGGCCCCTCTGCAGTTGCGGCAGGAAATAGTAGCGATATGCACGGAGAGAATCTTACAGCTCTCTTCTTAGAAATTCTTTTTCCGTGAAATAAAATCTTACGCCATATTTTCTAACAGCATAAAATAACAAACTGGCGATCGACTTTATCTCGCTAAGGAACTCGCAGTGCATTTTAATAGCAGGCTACACAGTTTCTAATATAATTCCTAAATAGCACGTATCAAACGGAGTAATAAATTGAGGTTAATATTGACATATTGACGTTGACATATTTTGAACGGTTACAAAATCCTGTGGTAATTTTTACCATAAAATCCTCGCCGTTTATAGTCCTTAGCACCGGCGATACAGCAATGCTTATTACAAAAATTGTTTCATCGTCTGTAATGATTTCACCTCCGCGATTATAATTGCGAATAGCCATCAAATATTTTCCCTCGCGGGTCGATCTCGTGAACACGCGATGACCAATTCGTATAATGATTGATCAATTATTACTGTTTCATCCTTTTTGTCGTTTTGTCGATAATTAACGTATATTCAGCGGGCGCGCGTGGATATACATACATACACACACATACATACACAGGAACATTTCTTCTCAATTTCGGATCTCTCCGCGCGCTCTCGAAGTTTGTCCATTAAAACCGGAAGCGGAGCGTATATCGCATCGTACGACAGTAGATCTTCCCTATCTCTCGTACTGTATTGTGCTGCATTATATAATGTTACATCATGCCGCCGTAGAGTACATCTAATTGTATTACACGTGGGTCGCTTTTCCCCGCACATGTGAGAGACACGAGTAGACAGGCATTAGCGAAAATCGTAATTAGCTAATCGCGCGATGCATATCGTGTCTTGTTAGGCGCGAGTTACATAATTGTTCTTTTCTTTGCCTCGCGGTTGGTCGAGCAAGTATTGCTACCACGTAAAAAGCTGAGGAGAAACATTTCACTGTTCGTGCGAAACGTGCGGACAATCTCTTCCTCTCTCTCTTTTTCTTTCTCTTTTTTCCTCTTTCTCTCGTGCATACGAATCGAATGTGTCGATGTTCCATCGTTCCGTCGTCACTCTATCGAATTCGGATACGAGGAGCGCGACCGCACGGCTCGATTTTGGAGCGTGTCTCGAGGTAACTTTAGCGACGAAACGCGCTTCGACGGAGAATGCCTTTGATGCGCGGAGAGTGTGAATGTTCCATTAATTATGAAACATAAAGAGTAAATATGTGCGTGAACATCGATGTCCTTTTTCGGGAATTTTTTTCTCTTTCTTTCTTTGTTTCTCTTTTTCTATTCTGCTTATTAAACAGCGTTGGAAATTCAGATCATGCGCGAATCGTCTGCATTTTTAACAAAGCTGTAAAAATTTACGCGCGATTGAGCGTACGGCCGGGTTTCTCGAAGCGTCGACTCGAGGTAATACGCGTCAGAGGGAATACGATAAAACGCGGTTTTTCGCCGTTTTCACTCACGGCTTTTTCCGCAGGACTCAATTACGGGAACAATAATAGTTACTCATTGTTTTACTGTCGGTGAGTATGTCGGCGGCTACTTTCTGGGACGCGATGAGGAAACGAGTTACAGTTATCAGATTTCTTCTATTTGAAAATATTTCAATACTGTTCCTCTCTTTTCTTTCACCTTCTTTCTCACAATTTTTTATCGGAGACAATGAAAACGTTGTCTCGTAAAGGACATCCTTGAGGATAACTGTTCTGCTAGGATTTCAAAATTCAGCCATATTAATGAACTCATTAATTATAACCATCGTTATGGTTTCTGTTCGGTCGTTCGATCGCGTTTACTTTTTTAATTAACACGCGGATCTTGTATCTTGATATAATTTTGGATTTTGATATAAATTTTCGGAAAATTTTACCAGGTTTGCACGCCACGGCGGACTTTTCTACCATTCTTAATTTGCTCAACTTGCCGTGGTTCAGAGTGCCTCCTTCTGCTTTTCTTAGAAATTCTCAACGAACAGCCATCCCACAATTCGCGTTCGTTCCGTTATGGAACGTTATGCGGTTTATTGTTGCAAAATTTTGTTGTAAAGGAGCAGGCGAAACTCGTTGAAATTGATCGAAGGATATACGCGCGATACGATGTAAATTGTATGAACCACGTCGTGAGCTTTCACGACGGATAAACAAGTTTAAAACTGGACGAGAAAGCATAGCCGATGAACAAGCAGTGCAAACCTGGCTGCGAGTCCAAAGATATCTACGTCGTTAAAATAAAAAGGCTTAGAACGACGGTGTTCAAATATACATGGCGAAACGTAAGAGGGGATTGTTTGAGAAAAAGTCGCGCTGCCGCAGTTTTATAAAAATAATTATAAATCGACCATTTTAAAGAGCGATTATATCCGTTCGTTCTCTCTCTCTCTCTCTCTCTCTGCGAAGACTAATCCGCCGCGGGATCATGAAACGTTGTCGAAATTGGACCATTGCGGTACTAATGCTCTCGAGTATCCCTCTAGCTGTAGTTATTAGTCTTGTAAACTAGAGACGTGTCAATTTCATTCTAGTTATCGCGACAGTCAGTGTGTGTGTGTGTGTGTATGTGCGTATGTCAGTGCCATTATTAGTCAAAAGTCATCTCGTTGTGGAGGAAAAAGTTTATCTCATCGAGTGCTTCCATAGTAAAAGGTAAAATAAATGCAAATGCATAACGCTGCGTCCATAATAAATACGGAACAACAGGCTCCGTCGGAAAATATCCTTAAAGGAGGGACATTTTAATCCTCTTATACTTGTAAATTTCAATTCTTCGATTTTTCTCGAACGTACTCTTTAACCGTCACGATCACATTACGTTGTTCACTGAGCATTTCCCGTCGTCGTTCTCGCAGGTTTTCTCCTGAATATAAATTTTTTTCATCAACTCTCTTTCCATGTAGTCTTTTTGCGTTGCACGCTAATATAATCGACAGGTTTCTCATGTTCTTGAAATTGTCGGGATATTGCGTTACATTTTACGGTAAATGTTTCGCACTCCTTCTTTTTTATTTAGTAAGAATGTGCGATGGAAAAATATAACGAACTACGAGGATAGTCCCAGAAGTACCTGACCTAACAAAGAAAACACAAAAAATTTGGGAAAAAGTATCTTTATTTCTCTACATAGAATCCTTTTAGCTCAATACACTTTTCCCAGCGATGTTCAATAGCTTCGATACCCTGTTTATAGTGGTAGAATATAATGTAGGTTTATAGTGGTTTATAGTGGTAGGTATAGTGGTATAGTGGTATAGTGGTATAGTAGAATCGTCGAGCTCCTCAAAATAGCCATCAAGCCACCTTGGTCCATTGTTTTGACTGTTCCTTCGTCTCAGGTGTGAAGTGATGGACCCATGTTTCATCCATGGTTATGAATCGACGCAAAAACTCGGCTTTATTGCTGCGAAACTTCGCCAAACACTCGATTGAAACATCCTCACGACGCTGTTTTTGTCCCAATCGCGGCACCCATCTTGCGCACAGCTTTCTCATGTCCAAATTTTCAGTCAATATGCGATGTACAGCACTTTTTGAAATGCCCACCATGTCTGCTAACTCGCGCACTTTCAGTCGACGGTCTTCCAATACCATTTTGTGGATTTTCTTCACCATTTCTGGCGTGGTTACCTCATTTGGTCGACCACTGCGATGTTCGTCTTGGCAGCTCGTACGGCCTCGTTTAAACTCTGCCACCCAATATTTTACTGTTGTAAACGAAGGAGCAGACTCCCCCAGAGTAGAATCTAGCTCCGCTTTCATATTGGTTGGACTGAGGCCTTTCAAATGAAAATATTGTATCACATAACGATGAGCAATTTTTTCCATGTTTACAAATTCACTGAGAGCGTTCACTATTGATGGCTGCCAAACAAATACTAAACAACGTAGCGTCGTCAAACTTCAAATTTAAGCTTTATAAGGTTGGTACTTTCTACCATAGTCATTCTTTACAAACAACAACCGCTATCTATACGTCAGGTCAGGTACTTCTGGGACTACCCTCGTACATTCGGCGACTCTGGGAGAAAGAGGCAAATAGAATCGCGCGCGGATCGACCTCGAAAAGGAACGTATCGTAACTCGATCGACTCTACACGATTGTACTTACTTTTTCAATTTCTGCTGTTGGCGTCCCGACGCCATCGACGCTCTCACGTTGCCGATGCAGTTTGTACATTGTTCGAACCTCAACCGAGACGCGCACCTCTCACTTTCCTCGCTCTTCTTCTTCACTCCCACTTGAAATCGTGCCGCAATTGTTCTCCCTCCGATTCTTCCGACACTTGCAGACGGCGATGAAGTAAATGTTTATTTGCTCGTCCGCAATCCACCCCCATCCCCCCACCGCTGAGGCTTTATGGCTTTACCGAAATATGATTTATAGATGTGGGGGCTTACAAAGGGTGCGTGAAACTCACCAAGTTACCTCTCGGCCGCAGGTTCTCTGAGAAATTTCGAATGGTATAATCTTCGCCGTAAGTGCCAAGTGGAAGAAGCCATCGAGGGGCCAGACTAGCGCCCCCTCCCCCCTCCGATATAAGGCGTTTCTGAAGTAGGTCGTCAAACTTTGGAAATGTGTTCCCCATTAACCTTGGAACGAAAGAAGGTCATATACGGCTGTAGATCCGAAAAATGAATGTTTCTCTTCGTGTTATAAATACATTTTGCTTTCGGCATGAACGTCGGCCGAATTTTCGTCGGGGAAAACGCAAATATAATTATCACATTTTCTTACTTTCCCCTTCGTCTTTTTCTTTCTCGGTCATACTCTGGCCAATTGATTTACAGCTTATGAATCGGTACTCAATTCGAAGAGAAATCAGATGTGGCAGGCGAAAGCGCCAGTAAAGAACAAAAGTTCCATTCGGGTTATAATATTTCCGTTACACTATATGCGGCAGTGAATCGATATATTGGGTTAAATTCTTAAATTATCAACATATATTTGAGTCCACCAGACGTCGATGAAACATTATTAAGAAAAAACAATTCAATTTCCGGTGATTCCTACAAGAAGTGGAGCAATATCTATCTTAAGCGTGAAACCTTCGGTTTGGCAAATTCAGGAATTTTGCGAAATTTGTAAACTCTCATTACGAAACAAGAAGAACTCAATTTAATTACCGAAAATCTCTTAAAAGTAAGAATTGGCTTCGTTCAGAAAATTCGAGTCTAATGTGTGAGATTACTGAGGTTTATGATTCTGAGACGTCGTTGAGAAATGCAGCGGATTGAAGTCTCGGAAGATCGCACGCCATCCCTTGAAAGGCGTTCGTGAAGAACACCTTCCGAGCGTCGTGCATTTTTGCTATAGAATCTCGCGGTATTACGCGACTCTTCGATATCCAAGACGGACCAGGCAGGTCGACTTTATTAAATCTCGAGTGACTTGCGACATTTGAATGGCAAAGTAGCGCGGATCCATCGACTTTTAATGTACGGAAGCTCGAGGAACCTCAGTACATACACTCTGAACATACCGCTGAATCTGCAACGAAGTATTGAAGAAAAAAAATTGCAGCCGTATTTAAGAGGGAGTTTCTTATTTTATGCTGCTGTACGTCGGCTGCGGATAAGCATCAGACGATCGGCGGGATTGTCAAAAAATCGATCGAATAACGCCTTTACGGCGAATAATTACCTCTGTACTCATATTAAAAGTTTCTCGCTCGACTCTCTCGACTTTTCCCACGAGGTTGTCTAATTTGCGACGTAATAAAACAAGACGACTCGATGTGTAATGAAGCGAAACGATTCACGACGTGTGAGAGTTCACGAGATTGAATGAGCGAATTGACGAATCAACCGCGAGATATCGCGGCCACGAGGACGAGAGAATGTACGTTCGTTTGTTCGGTTTGTGACTTTACTGTGTACTGCTGATTGTCCGTGAAAATTATTGCGAGCCCTGACGGAGTCCCTTAGAAAGGTGACGTCTTCGGCTGTCACTGTACTCATTGAGCAGTCCTTTTCTGTGCACGCTCAGCTCGATTTTAAATGCTCCTCTTCGGCAAGATCGAATTTTTGACACCACGTAGCCTCGCAATATCGTCGGATGAGCTCGTAAGATGAGCCCACCGTAAGCGATGCTAGATCGGAACGTTGCAGCATGCAATGATGCACGGTGCTCGCGCTCGGACCGCGCGGATCATACTGAAGAAGAAACACGGAGGCTGCGTGGTGAGATGAAACGAGATGGAACGAGAGGAGCAAGACGAAGCGAGATGGAGTAGCGGCGCGTGTCAAAACTCGCGCGCCACCCTGTATCTCTCCCTTTCTGCCTCCACCGTCAACCCTCTCCTCCTTCGGGCGCCCTCTCCGTTTTTTCCTCATTTTTCTTTCGTTTCCGCTTCTCGCCCCCGCTCTATGTGCTCTGTTCGCACCCCTTCGCCCCATTCGCCGCCTTCCGCTCCAGCCGCTTGTGTCTGTTATTGCGGGCTTTCTCTTATTTCTTCTTCCCGGCCGATTTCTTCCTTTCTGCTACGTAATTCTTCCGGGCCTCTTCATTGCCGCAGACGCGTCTTGCTGTTCTCGTTTTTCTCCCGTTACTTCTCTTCCCCTTTTTTCTCGGTTTCTCTTCTGCGCGATTTATGACGAGAATTTGCGGCGGATGACGACTAAATCCGCATGAAGTTCCTACGTGAACGAAATGGCGAATTCACCGCCCCTCGTCTGCAAATTACTTCAGGAATTATGGGGGGGGGGAGAGACTGAAATATATTTCTTATTCATGTTGTTACTTCCGACATTACAGTCGCGCATGTTTCGACGTTATTTATTAATTGTTACATTATCATCTCATCCACAAACACACACAATTTCCACAATATTAATTTAAATATTTCAAATATTAATTTATTATGTGTGTAGTATGATTTGATACACTTTCGTATGTTTGATATCTAATTATCTTTTTTTATATTTCGTTAACATATATTCCTATTAATATTAATTTATGAATCCTTCAAAGTGTTCTCAATCTCCTTAACGTAGTTAGAGTTAGCAAGAAAGTCTAGCTTCCGTCGTGGAGCAATGCATTTAATCTGGTCATGTCTTTCGCGTTAGGTTGATCGACTTCGTTAATTGCACGTTACTTTTTTAATTAAGGAACTCTTCTAACTCCCGAGAACTGGAACAACGGTCGTGGAACGTATCGCGCGCAATTATAATGAAATCACGTGGAAAGCACCTGAAATGATTCTACGGAATTTTCATACATTTTAATATGTCGCGCTATTTTATAGTATAATGTTATTTGCAGTTTTGATATTGATAATATTGTTTTTTATTTTAATCAATATCAGCGTATTTTAATCAACGTCATATTGCACATGTCCCTATTATTTTATTCAGAGATATCAATGTTGCTCAATTGAAAAATTTTTTTGTCAAATTTTGAAGACGAGAATTTGGAAAGACGGTCGATAAAATGATTTCGAAACAATCTTTATAGAACTTGACAATTCAAATGGAGGTGGGAGACGAAAATGTACAGAGGAGAGATAAACGGGTGAAAAAAAGTATATATAAAAGTATTTGTAGTTCCGATATACAGGATTTATTAAATTATTACAGCTATATAGTTACAATACGAGAATACACGATCTTTACATATACAATATATTATGCATTATTTACTTTATGTCATTTACACTCACAAACACACACACACACACACACGCACACACGCACGCACGCACGCACATTCTTCCTTCTCTTCTTCTCACTCTTACTCATTCATTCTCACTCACTTTCTCTTTCACGCTTCCTTCTTTATTAGTTCTCTTGTAATTTCTTTTACATACAAAACGGATTATTCACGAATGAACAACGAACGACCATGAACGACACGACTTTGTGTTACTAACTAATAACGCGCGGCTTCAATAAATAAATCGTCCTCTAGTGCAATGTACAAGTAGCAATAATGGCCTTCTCTTCTTTCTTACGATTTACACGTCTAATAGCTGTAATGAACCACGACACTTGTACATCAACTCGATTACGCTAATTACAAATACACACTCTCAAGGCGAGCGCATAATCTTTCTTTCTCTTTCTCTCTCTTTCTCTTTCTCTTTTCCTGTCTTCCTCTCTAGTATTTTCCTCTTTGCTTTTTCCTTTACCTTCTTATTTCTTCCCTAACATATGTTCCTAACATATGTCGTTCACCATTATGCGCAATGTAATCAATTATTTACTTCGGTCTATGTTGCACGATGCAACCATTCTGATAACAGCACGTCCGCGTTTCGCGATACACTTAATTCTAAAGACTTTCTACTTGCATGGAAATACAATCTTTTCTTCGGACAAACGAAATAAATGAGAGAAATGTGAGCTGTCCGGTGCAAAGTATATTACATTGAAGAAGCGTAATCGTTTACTTTTCTTATCGCAGTGATACTGTAATTCGTTAGATACAGAGTGTCCCAAAAATTGTCGCGTTCAAGCTTCGTACGCGAGAAGAAATCAGGTGTCGTTGGTGCGTTTTTTCTTAGCGAAATTAGAGTCTCAACGTTCAGTTGTCAACATTAAATATTTACATTCTCGTTCTACGTTAAGTAGCGAGATAATCATAATTCAAGTTGGCATAGAAAAGAATCTGGTTCATTCAGTTTTTCTTTTATTGTAACGGAATTACTTATATGTTTGAACACGAGTATGTAATTTATGTATACAGAAACTTCAGTTACAAATTTTTGTTATAAGTTTACGAAAATGGTATACAATTTCAGCAAGTTTTTAAAACGATTAAATGTGTCAAAATTCAAGTCGTATAGTTATCAATGTAATATTATTTGATTAATGGATATATTTCTTTTCTAGACTAAAGACCTGTATATCTTAAAATCTTGCTAAAATTTAAAAATCAAAGCCTACGACGGTAGATAAGATACACGTTATACTTTTTGCGACACTTTGTATGTGACGTGATTTTATGTCGCAGGGAGACGATTTCGATATTACAGTTACAGAGACGGCACCACTTTATTGACTTGGATTACTTTTCCCAGTTTTGTGCGGCATAATCATTTCTGTGTATCTTGCTCTATCGGGTGACAATAAAAACGTTAACGACCTACCGTTGCGATCATATAAAAAATATGCGCGCGCCCTCGGGCGAATATAAAATATACTCTCATTGTATACACAAGCCTGCACATATACACTCACACACGTCGCTTACGCTTAAAACGATAATCGAAGTGTCGACACTCGACATTTACCACAATCGCAAAAACTTTTTTTCCCTTAATTAAATAATAGCTACGTTCGTTGAACATGCATGTTCCGGTTTTTCCTCACGAGAGCGAGTCAAAAAGTGCAGGAGCTCCTTGAAAAAACGTACGATCCGTTGGTTAATGTAACATAGAAGAAGAATAATAATAATACCTCGATAAAGAGAGAGAAAGTGGATGAAATTTAACGACACCTCGTTAATATATCAAACCAACATATAACACAAGAACAGAATAAATCCGTGTGTGACTATCTTTGAATAATTTAGAAAAAAGGTTATTACTTACATGCACAAAAATAATGTCTAAAATAATGAAACAAATCAACAACAAGTGCATGTCGCGTCGAGAAAAAAACTCTACTATATACTTTATGTTCATTCGCGGATGACAAGTCCCTTCACATGGAATTCACTCTCGCGATTTGCTATTAATACTTTTTTTTTTCGCGAAGCATTAAGAAAGAAAAAGCGGAAATGTCGGCTTTGGTATAAGGGAAACACGCCCGTGCTTCCTCGGTGCGCGTTTCCGGGGATGCGAATGTCCCGCAAACGTGCGTCGAGAAGACACCCGAGCTCTATTATGCTTGATTACCTCATCTAAATACAGTTTGTAAATGCTAAAGTGATAAAAAATACTATTTTCTCTCGTCTCCCGTATATTATATACATATACATTGCTGCTTATAGTTTTCTTCGTAGCTCTGCAAATTGCGTCATCGTAATTATGTCGCCGTTACTTAAACTTCGTTGCCAACGTGGACCGTTCATCGTTGACTTGACTTTCTTTAGAATTGGAAATTAACAGTTGATGGCAGATCGCCGCGTCATCTTTGCGAGAATCCGTTGCACGTGTACTTCGAGATTTAACGACAATTCATATCTGCATGTCAAAGCCGTTCAGTTTTTAATTACTCGTTCTCAGAATTATTAAAAATGCAGTTCTCTCTCTCTCTCTCTCTCTCTCTCTCTCTCTCTCTCTCTCTCTCTCTCTCTCACTCTCGAGCTGCTCTCCTGACGCCGAGGTGCTAGCTGGAGAGAGGGCATGATTTCTCACGGATTCTCGGAAAAATGGCGACATTATAATCGCGCGCGAGGCAATGTCGCTGTGATATCGTTTGTCTTCGAGCGATGTAGTTTGTCGGATGATCTTCGTAACACTCTTCGTCGTCTTGTAGCAAAAGTCTTTGTGCCCGAGTTTCAATTAGGCGATATCGGTATCGAAGTGCTAAACGATATTGAAAATTCGGGCGAGTCGAGATTTACTAACATCGTGTCGCGAACGCGAGTGCAAATCGAATTCACGAGCAGTCTTGAGAAAAAGTACAATCGATATATTGGCCGAAGACGATACTTACGACTGAACTGTGCTCGCTGTGTCTTAACTTAATTACCGGCTGTAGGGAGGAGAGGGAGGTGCAACGGATTAACATTACGAATCTTACGAGGCTACCGATATATAAATCCTAAAAATTATATCCATAAATACATCTACGAATTGACATCTCGAAACGCCATTTTATCTTTTCCTTTCCTCCGCGCTTTTCTCTGTCGCCGCTCCGCGTTTCGTCGGATTCTTTTGCGTTTTTAAACGTTCCCAGTCAGGCTCCGTCCGGAGTCTTAACCCTTTATAGGTTTATCGGGATGGGGGCTTGTCATTTTTCATCGTTTCGATCATATCCCTGTAACAATTCAACGTCTCTGAGGAAGCACGAGAAAAAATCTAAAGCACGTGACTGTCTTCTCGTTTGGTTTCGTCCTATAAAGGGTCTCGCATCAGACGAATTCGCGGCTCCCAGCTGTTGCGCGATTAATTGTGTTCTCGCTCGTGTTGAAATTATATTCGCATTGCAGTGTGTCGCGATCCTGCAAAATTATCTCGAGAACAGAAAAGCGTTGGACTCGCGTTCCTCGCGCCGTTCGTTGCCCGCACGATATTAGCTTACGCCCATTCACTCGTCCGCACTGGTAAAAGTAGAACTGACGACTGAAAGGAAAGACTGGTAAAAGTTTATCCCTTACGCGCTGACGCAACTTAAAGACAGTGTACTGGCCGTGTGTTTATAAACGACTGTGATCTCACTAAAAGCGGCTGTTAGGTAGTCCCAGATAGACTCTCGTCCCCGAGTTTGCATCGATTCGATATTGAATTACTTGGTAGTTTACTTCTAATTAATTAGTTCGTATTTATTGAATTAACTCGCGATTCACTCATGATCGATTATCTCGTCGAATGGTCGAATTGATCGCAAATTCCGTTTGTGACGTTTTGTCTTCTCTCTTTTTTCTTTACGGAAAGATACGTAGTGCCGAGGTGCCGAATTTACGAATCTCTTTGATAGTTTCTTTCTCGTAGCAGCAACAGCAGCTTTCTTTTAGCATCAAGAGTTTTACAATAAATACGTCTCATTGGCTAGAATTTTTGGATGTTCTCCACGATAATATCAGTCTTGGATGCCGCATTCAGAGCCAAAGCGTAAAATGTCGTCGGCATTTGATGAAAAGTTCGCGAACGCCAACCAATTCGCCATACTTTTCTCACGAAAAGGAGATGGTCAAATAAAACGATCAAATAAAACACGCGTCACGAGACAACGACACAATTAATTGTTGCCCAGTTAATTTCTACAGCAATCGTCCGACAAATAACGGTTTCCTAAAAAGTAAACAAACTCATTTAAGCGAAATCTCTCTTTTTTTAAACTTTGTAAATCTAGTCATTCTCGATGATTGGTAAAAATGGCGATTCTTAGAGACGAGCTCTTCCCGGTTTTCGGTCCGCGTGTCGTCTCCAACTAATACGGAGAAATCCAAAATCGTGTGTTTGTCTATGAAGCAATTCTTCGAAATTTCCTCTCTCATTTCATACCTCTTCGTGTTTCTTTATTCTTTGTCAACTTGTTTCTGAACGTCCTCTTCGTTCTTCCGCATCCAACTGTTATCATTTCGAGCAATTTTGGAACTTTCCGAAAAAACGGTGGAAAGAGGTCGGCGACATTTTGTGCTTGACGATAACGATAATAAACCGTTGTTCAAGTTTGTTGCTGTGGCACCGTTGCTATCGACACAACCGGCGATGTCGTGCGGTTTCCGTCTTGTGCGCAACGAGGTGGTGTCAAGGTCAGACGGTTGAACATGTCGGGACGCTTCAGGGTGTCAGCGGAACACGGTCAAGCGTCTGTCTCGCCTTTCAGCCTCAGACGTGCGAAGTCCTCAAAGATGATGTCGTCGTCGCCGTCAGTCTCCCTAAAAATAGACACGAAATATAAGGAACTCTTCTCTCAGTTACTCCTCTTCCGACAAGTCTTACTTGATTTAATTTTGAAAAATCGCACAATTGAAAAATCCTTTCCCGAGGAATCGAGCCGGAAAATTTAAGAGTCCCTCCGCGAGAGATTTTCTCCGAGAGATTTCATTTCGAGAAATCGGCAAATTTCAAAATTCTCGGCGGGACTCTCTCGCCGTGAGAGAGAAAGAGAGAGAGAGAGAGAGAGAGAGAGAGAGGGAGGGAGAGAGAGAGAGAGAGAGAGAGAGAGAGAGAGAGAGAGAGAGAGAGAGAGAGAGAGAGAGAGAGAGAGAGAGAGAGAGAGAGTCAAATTCGGCTGACTTACGCGTCCAATTGAATGAGGTTCGCGTCGAGAGGGACTTCCCCGCTGTCAGTTTTGTGCGTAGGGCTTGGTCGGGCCGTGGACGGCGCTGGTTCCTCCTCTTCCGGTTTCGGGTGCATCAGGATGAAGGGCAGTTCTGCGACTAACTCACTGCCGGTGGCGATAACGGTGACATAAAACAGACGTGGACATTCATCTCGAGTCGCGATCTCGCATTCAGTCCCGGTAGAATAAAGTATCGATCGACCGCGCGAGAGATGGAATCTCTCCGATTCGTAGGGGCGCAACCCTTGCTAGTATACATGTTACGGAACTTACCCCCCGAGGGCGCCGAGGCAAAGTTTCACTTTGACTTTGTACTGGACGATTATGCCGAGGTTCTCACGTTGCGACGGGTCCACCACACTGCGAATTGTATTTGTATCGTTGTTAAATCGATGTATTCATCTCGCGATCGATATCGACGCTACTGCTACGTGGAAGCACATGCGGGATTAACAAACGCGCGGCAGCATCGGCATGCATGCAACGATGACGGAGAGCAACACAGAAGGCAAATTGGCGTGCTGGCTCTGTTTGTCGGAAACGAAAAAGAGAAGGGGAGAGAAAACAAAAATGTGAGACTGAGAGAAAAAAAAGAAAAGAAAAGGAAGGAGAGAAAAACGCAAGCGCCACTTAATTGCGCAACACGGTGTATCTATTCAAACATTTATGCAAAAGCGGTAACCACGTACATATATCTTTTGTGTCACGCTAACCGTGAGAGTGCGGCTTCGCGGGGAAAACGAGCGATCGCTAAATTTTCCATGCAATTTTTCCACGCAAACACTACGGCGGTGGCGGTGTCACGTTTCGACAAGCATAAGCGTGCGCGCGTGGCAGAGGTGGTATCTCGGTTTATAACTTTGCTGCTGGATAATCCACATCCTAAACCTCCCAGATCTCGGCACCTTGATCCTTTCGATACCATCGCGGAGCGCTTTTGCCTTCTATCAAACGCTTGAGTGATTTTATTTGGACAGTCGGAGACGAAGAAAAAATATACGAGCAAACGTCTGTGTCATCGTGAATCATCGGCAACGTGTGCTGTACACAATAGGCGGTCTGTCACGAAACAGATCATGCGTGTTTCACTATGAAAAATATCGCGAACTTTCATTCTTGCAGACTTAAACGTAGATTATCGAATTTTTTTTCAATATCGAAAGATTACCGCGTAACATTGCAAAATTAATCTGCATTAATGTGTAACATTAATGCAAATTATAAATATATATCTCGGAAAATCTGCGGAGCGCGTATCGATTCTTTTGCATTAAAATTAGTCAAGAAGAAAACTCGAAGTGCATGAAGCTTGACGTAGGATTTAAATCCGCACATTGTCCTCGTGCGAAAAGAATGGCACCGAAAGGATTAGAGAAATTGGATTTTGGAATTGCCGCGGATGCCAGGGTTTTTTTTAAACATCTGACAATATCGAAGAGATTTTGAGCGATCGAGGACTCTTAAACCCTGGTCGAAGTTACCGCGATCCATGTGTCCGGATTTAAAAGATCCGGGACACGCGACAGGATTTCGGATTTCGGTTTGTCAATGCGAATTTCGCAAAACGAAGTTACACGCCGCACGACAAGAACTGATCGACAGACGCTCGCTCGTTCGCTCGATTGATCGATCGTTGAGGGAAGCTTCGTTGCAGGCAACCAACATGTATTTTCTCTCCCGCGGCCGTCGTGGAAAGCGTTGCGGACGAATACGAAATTCCCAAAGGCGTGATCGGCTGCGTTGCGTGCGTCAACGACACGTGTGCGTACACGTAACGTAACAAGAACCGCGCGCGTTCTCTCGTCGCCACGCATTCAGCGCTGAAAAACACCGCGGTGCGTTACGAAACGCTGAGCAAATATTTTTATTTTAGCGATAGCGGAACCATATATACCGTGGTGAACTTTATTATTAATCCATTCGTCTAACGCGTTTCTCGATAATTCGTAACAGCGTTCGCGGCAATAATTCATCGTCGCGCTCAAAGTTTCTCTCTACCGTTAAACGCCCTTTCGCGTTACAGGGGCGCTGAAACTTTTTGAATCGAGTGCAAAATTCACGCTCGCGGAATTGAATCGTCCTCGAGGCGGCCTACTATTTTATGTACGATTGCATTTACAACAATGTTATGTAATAATGCGCGCACATGTATACATTCTTAACGCACCCGCTACCAGCGACATTGAGACGCGTGTATGACGCGACGCGACGTCACGTATATACGTGACGGCGATAATTTTTCATTCTACGTCTGCGCAGACGAATTAAAGTAGCTCCGTGACGAACACTTTCCCAGATGAACGGTGAGGGCGGTAGCGAACGTGTTAAAAAATTCTTGGCTGGAGCTTGGCTGGAGTTGTGATAAATTTCTAGACTCTCAGCGTGTAATTGCAGAAGGCTCTGACCGAGTAGTCGCGAAGCCGCGGTTTGCCGCTCAAAGTCTCGCGCTCGATCGCGAGGGATAATGTCCGCGAATGGAAGCGTCGAGACGCTAAATGCGTGACTGCTGAAAAAACGCGCGTCGCGGCATCGATTTCTAGGCGTGTTTCTGCGTGTCGCAGGCTCTCAGATTCAGGCATCGCGTCTTACAGGGTGCTGGACGCCAGATTGGTGTCCTCGTGTTTGAGCTGGCCGTCGAGGGCGAGCCCCCATTTATCTTTGTTGTTGGCCAGAAGGGGTGTCAGGGAGAACACCTTGCTGAGCGTGAAGCCCGGTCCCACCGGGCATCCCTCCCTGACATTGAAGAGCCAGCATGAGTGTCAATGCGCGGTTCGTCACCACGTGCTAGCACGTGGCTTCGAAATGTCGCGGCCGCGAAATCGTGATGTCGAGACGCGAGAAACGACAACGTGCAAATGCGCTTTTACGTTTCCTCTCACGTTGTCGATACTTCATGTCAATTGATGCATTCCTGAGAGACAGATGGGCGAGAGACACGTGTATCGTTGTGCTTTGTTGAAATATTTGTATGCTTGAGCATATCTTTTCGCATAAATTGATACATCATCTCTCTCTCTCTCTCTCTCTCTCCCCTCTCTCTCTCTCTCTCTCTCTCTCTCTCTCTCTCTCTCTTTCTACGAAAAGTGCGTTGAGTAGTATCGACGAAAAGATAAACGGAATGCAGAATCAATTTATGTGCTTGCGATCGCGAATTTCGAATTACGCGTGTCGAGGCTCGAGAGAACTCGCAAGTACTTTTGTTCAAAACATCACGGGCGTTCGATGGAGAATCGAAATACACATATTTAATTTGCGTGAATTATGCGCGCATGATTAGCCTTCATTAACCTAATTAATATTCATCGTTTAATATTAATCAGGCTAACGTTGATTATATCTCTGATTACCGTTTATTATTAACTTTGCGACAGCCGGCTAATTTCATTGGCATTACTCTGTATATCTGAGCTCAGGGAGAAAGGTGTTCGCGGAACTCCAATTTCGTGGAAATCCGCGACAATGGATCGCGACAAAACGAGAAATGAATCGCGTATTCGCGGTATCATATCATATACAGATCATTTTTATCACATTCTTCACACACATATACACAATAATAATACGATATGTCAGCTTGTGCGTTACACTGCAATACAGACTACTATTACGAGGAACGAGAACGGGACGAGGACTCGACAATCCTGTATACTGTCCAGTGCCCAAAAGAAAGATACAGGACGTGTGAGAAACAATTACGTTTATATTAATAACAGAGAGAAGTATGTATTCCAAAGATCTACGGGAATGTTTAGAGAATATTCTCATGGAAGAAGGAAAATATATAATCTTACAGGGAGAAAAATAAAAACAAAAAAAAATGCTTCGCGTGAGAAAGGGTTAGAAAGAGGATGGAGAGTGTGGGCGGAGAGGGGGGAGGGGAGGTTGCAGAGGAAACGATACCACCACCGATCGAGATTCATACGTGGTTACAGGCCACCGCGTTAAAAACTCCCAGCACAGAATCACCAAGAAAATATACTGTCATTCCACGTATCACGTTCTCTTTTTTTTTCATTTTGTTGCATCGGTAAAAAAGAGAAAGAAAAGGAGCAGCAAGAAGAGCCGGAAGCGAGATAATCGTTCAATATTTCTCGCCAATGTCTCTCATTTTTTGCGGAAAACACCGACTCGCCGGAATTTAATACTCGATTTGGGTTTAATCTCTCGAAGATTAATTCGATTACCGATTTAACTCGACGCTTAATTCAATCATCCGCGATTAATCGTACGAGCGCCGCCCCCAGCGAGCTAATCGTTTAGCAATTTTTGCCGTTCCCGGTAACTCGGTATATAAAGTCGTTCTGACAAAAAATCTTTACATCGTCGTCGTTCTTTTGCTCTTCCTCGTTATGACTCTCGAGCGCGATGAGTGCTCATAAAGATCCGCTGTGACATTCACGATGAGATATCGTCGTGATTACGCGCAGGACAGAAAACGACGCAATCTATTTGACCGGTCTTCAGTCGCCTTGCTTCTTGCTGCCTTTTCTTTCTCTTTAATATTCGGCGGAAAGTGAGAGAAAGAGAGAGAGAGAGAGAGAGAGAGAGAGAGAGAGAGAGAGAGAGAGAGAGAGAGAGAGACGGAGAGAGAAAGAAGAAAAGAAAAGAGAAGAGAATAAGAGAATGAAAGAGAGGGAGAGAGAGAAAGCGAAAGTGAGAAAAGAAAGAAAAAGAGAGAAAGAGAGTGAGAGAGTGTAAGGGGGGAGAGGGAGTAACAAGCGCTCTCTCGATCTCTTTGATCTTGATCTCGCACTCACATTGTGCTAGACGCGAGATTGGTGTCCTCGTGTTTAAGCTGACCATCTAGTGCAAGGCCCCGCTTGTCTTTGTTGTCGGCAAGCGTCGGCCTCAGAGAAAACACCTTGCTCAGGGTAAATCCTGGCGCTACCCCTATACTGCCAGTGCAATCATCTTATTTTCCTGCTCACCACAGTCCCGTGTATCGCGGCTTATCGCGCCTAATACTTCGTCCCGTCGCTCGAACTTCGAGCCGATTTTTCTTTTCGGTCTAAGACGCTTGGATCATAGATCATTGATAATCGCTAAATCGAACGCTGTTTGATTGTAAGTCATTAGCGGTCTTACGTCAACAGCTTGTCAAGTTGTGCAAGAAGACATAAGTAATTTGAGATTTTGCGCAGATGTAGAAACAGCGATATTTTTCTTCGATATTTCAAAATTCATACGTGAGAAATAAAGTAAAATTGATGCTGTTTCTTAAGAATATTCTCGAAGATCTTTTTACTTAAAATTGAGAGAATCTCTTTCCTCTCGATATTCTCTTGGAAGCTAAATTTAAAGCTGCTTTATCTTCTCCTATTCTTTGTGATTTAATTTGAAACGGAGAAAAAAAAACAAGATTGATTAAAGATCCTTAGGAATTCGATTTGGAGGCGTGTTTACTCGAAGCGTTGGACATTCTATTTCCGCGAATTGAATTTCGCTTGTAATTCTATCAACCCGGGAAGCTTTTTAGGTCGAACCGCTCTACGTTCGTTGCCACGCGCTTCTCTTTCGCCGGCGGGCCGCGATATCATCGTCCCTTGATAACGAGCGAAAAGTAATTAGCTTGGGAATACTCACTCGCTCTCAGCCTCAGCGACGGTGCACTTGTACTGCGCCGTGGAGAACAGGCAGATGTCCGCGAACTGCCTAACCGACACTTTTATCTTTTTCACAGTTCGGTTGCTATTGTTCGCTATGTGCACGTTCACAGCTATATTCTCGCCGTGGTGGTAGAGCTCCTTATCGAGAGAAGCTTCCAGATGTAACTTGTTGGGGGACATCATGAACTCTTTGCTCACCTCCACCGAGGGTTGTTCGCCCTGTTTCGACGGCGCGTACATGATCTTCCTGATGGCCAGCCTCACCGAATTCCTACGTTGATCAATCCCGACAATTAATGTTTTTGCTCTTGAGAGAATAATTTAAACTACTTGTCATTCTAACGATTCGCCCCGACACGACGAGAGAATCGGGCTTTCTGACAATCGTCTGACAATCGGGCTTCTGACAGGAGGGCAGCTTTGTCTCCGCGAAAGAATTAAGTTGAGTGGAAACGAAGACAAGTCGGATCGGAAATTGAAACTGATTTTGCTTCGAACGAAAATTTTCATGGCTTCACGCGGAAAAGATTTCTTTCCATCTTTTGAACGATAAGAGAGAAATCTTATCCAAAGAATAATCTAATCCAAATCTTATCCTTTGCGTGCACGCGCACGCGCGCGCGCGCGCGCAAAGAGTTTTAAGAAAACTCTTCACCCTTTTCACGCTACGTTCTACGTTATACGTAGCGAAAGTGAAGTTTCACTTCAATTAGATAAAATTTCCTCCTTTCTCGTCTCTTTCCGAGTGGCTGAAATTGCTCATATCTCATCGACCGGTGGCGGGAATCGCGTTGGATCTCGAGGCTCGTACCGTTTGTGCGGTTTGTCGTCCTGCGCCTCACCTACGAACGCTTTCAATTCGTAGTCGACGCCGCAGGGCTTGCCCGTGTCGCAGGGCGCCGGTTGCAGGGTGACCGAGGCGGGACAGTGAGGTGGCAGCTCGAAGTAAAAGGGATACGCATTGCTGCCCAGTTTCTTGATCAGCCTCTCTTGTAGTCGTGTTAGTTCCCGTCGCGACAGCTGAGACCCCGGCACGGGATAAATTTGTTCCGCCGCCAGATAGAGGTCTTTACGAAATGTCAGTCCGAGGACATCCAAATCCTCCCTCCCGTACTTGAACGCCGCCAGAACATGGCCGAACACTTTCCGGTCTTTTACGTAGTCGGGATCGATCAGGACGACTCCGTCTGGAATGGTTAAGACGATTTCATGATGAAGTTTGAAGGGAAGCGGAAGTAAAATTATATTATCATAGGGGCGAATAATCGCTTCAAGCGAATGCACGACTCGCTTCGACTCGATTGTTTTATATCGGTGGGAAATATAATTCGAGCGGTTGTCTCGCGAAAAGGGACGAATCGGGTCGCGGATCGTCGAAGTCAGGCCAAGGTCGATTATTTGCCTTGACAAACGCCTGGATTGATTATGATCGATACTTGCCGATGGGATCAACGTGCGTGATGTGATCGACGAAGTCTCTCTTGCCGAGGTAGACCGTGATCTTGCCATTGAGGCTGGACTTCTTGAAGACACGTGTAGCTTGTCGTTTGTTGGTACTGTCGACCGTGTCCATCTCGTCGGAGAGTACGGTGCTTGTACTGTTCACTAACGCACTGGTCCCTCCGGTCTCATCTGAGGGTGGAGCTTTACGTAGAAATTCCTGCGAGATAATCCACTGCCAACAAGAAGCATCGGTTGGTTGATCACTTTGTGTTTGCAAATCGTACCTCATGCATTCATATGCATGCACATATGTATGTAAATATTCGTATACATCAAAATTTCGCAGAATCTCGCGAAATTAATCATTACAAATACGGCGCCCGATGAATACAATAAATATATATACCGTAGAATCTTCATCCCAGTTATCCCACGACATTGTTTCGTTCGGTCTATAGCTCCGACTAAAGCTTAAAATTTCCGTCCATTGACGTGCACGATATTTACACTGGTATCTGCACGTCTTGTATGTAAACAAAATATTACTGAGTTCCCTAGTTTCCCTATCGTTCCCATCGTGTGAAACTTCATTCCTAAATTTACCTCTATCATATTCTTTCCTAGTTCTTTCATCGACGCAGGTGTGATAGTTTGATCGTCATCAATTAATTTCTAGACAGACTGGTCTGGTCTGGTGACGGAACTCGCGATTGGTACTCGACACATTGTCGAGCTGACTCGAGTCACTCACTTGAATTTGACTATGTTGTGTTTGTTCTATTGTCGTAGATTTCCAGTTGAATTTACTTCGCGCGAGGCAGATAAAGTAAGAAACATTTGTGATTCAACAGCAGTGATAATAATGATAACTTTGTAATTTGTGCACTGTGTGATTTGTATTGTACTCAAAAAATATCGTCTACTCTCCACTGAATTTAAAAACATCAGCCACTTGGTCGTTCGCGCACGACTCGCAAATCTCCGAGATTTCGCCGAGATGCAACAAGCTACTCGTGCAAAATTCAGACCAAACCCGAATCACGATCGCGGTAAAACACGGGGCAGCTCTGCGGGGCGAAGCCAAGCTTGCACTGAACCGCTCCGCCAAATGGATGTCAATTTCAATCGACGCTCATATATTTCTTAATACGATAATGCCTGTGCAATAATTTGTACTCTCGGGGTTTTCACGCCGCGTGATCGCTCGTTTGGTTACGAATACGCGACGGGCGACGGAGTGTAACACGAAGTGGATTTACGTTGAGTGATATTCTAGAGACGAGCGCTTTGAAATCTTGAAAATTTACATTGGACCTTTATATCCGTATACAGTACAGAGTACAGATAAATATTAACTCTCTTAATTGAGGGGGTAACATTAACGCGCGATAAAGTTTTCGTTAAAACGAAGTTTACTTTTGAGTTGATCCAAGTGTGCGAGATCGTATTACCAATTTGCACTTCCGTAGGTTAATCCGCGCTAACTCAATAGTCCGCCCATTAAATCGCTGATTGAATTTTCCGCGAGGAAAAGTCGACGTTAAGTTCGTTAAGAGAGTAGGAGACAGAGAGAGAGAGAGAGAGAGAGAGAGAGAGAGAGAGGGGGGAGGGAGGGGGAGGAAACAGACAGTTCCACGAAAGAGAAATATCTCACTTTCTAATTTCCTGTTTATCCGAAAGAATATCCTCGCCTCGTGTTCTTTATTCATTCTTCTTCGGCCTTTGTTAGATAATTTTCTTCACCGGATTATCTTATAGATTTTCTTTTTTATTATAGCTTATCAGATAATTTTAGATATTTATTTTTACGGAAATTTTTATCACCATTTTTATTTTTATTTCCGGATCTTTATTTTTACGAAAAGAAGAGAAGCTCGCGGTGCTCCTCATACAGCATTATTTATCAGCACAGCGCCTTAGCGTTTCGTTTGTCATTTCTTATCTCGAATGCCAATTTAGATGTCTCGCGAGACACCGTGTATAAAGGAAAGCACGCGAATGTATAAGGTCGTGCTGCATGTCTACTGTCGATGTAACGGGTCAACGGAAAGGAATAGGGAACTTGCGTACGCGCATTTGACGTCATCGTGCCAAATGTTATCACCGAGCACCAAAATATATGTTTCGTTATCAATTTGTGCGCTATGATCTGCGGAGACTTTCAAATTGTATATCACGAAGATAAAGTGACGAGATTAGATCCGCAGACGCGCGAGTTCTCTCTTCGCGCGAATTCTTTTCATACATTTTAATGAAACTGCGCGTTTCTCCCTCATTCGTCGTGGTAACGCGCGTAACAATATAAAATCAGCCAATCGACGTTTCATTCGACGTTTATGCAGATGTCGGCCGGGATATTTTTATATGTCCGTTGCATAAATATTTATACGAACTTTTAAACAGATGGAGAGGGAAGCGGATCTCTCTCGAGACGCCTTGACGAGCAATATCGCTTATTTAAAGATACATTGTTTCTAAATGATGTTATTTCATTCCTGAAAGTACGCCGTTTGCCGTCGCACAAAGATGCGCTAATAAGCGACATTTTCATCCAACTATTGCAATTCGCGTCCGATTCTCCGAAAGAATGCGTCGGTTGAAGCTAATTTTAAACTTCAGACGAACTTCGTCCAACTAGACGCGAGACTCAAGGTTCTCCAATGAGCCGAGCGCGCGCAATTTTATTGAGATATATCCCAGATGATAATTTTCTCGACTCTGACGTCTGTTTTTCTTCTTTCTTCTCCCCGCATTTTCCTCGCCTTTTCCCCGTCTCATTTTACTTTCTAAAGCGCGCAACTCTTTTTCGCATAGTTTCATTTCGACGAATATCGAATGCGCGACACTGAAGCGACGACGACGGCGAGCTGTCGTCTTGGAATCCACGTCGTACGTTAATTGTTCGCAGACAGACTGTGGACAATCCAGGTCGAATTTTGCATGCTGGGTCAACGGACGCAAGTTGGTCTTACGATTCATTTTCGACGTCACTCGCATGTTATCTCGTATGCCCCGTAATCAACACCGGGTTCAGTACCGTTGTCTGAATAGGCGCTCGCGGATACTACCGTGATTGTCCATTCATACATATTATACATATGTATAATTGAATGGTCGGAGGAGGGAAGAAGAAAAACAATTTCGCAAAATGCAAACTAATCGGCGGACTTCACTTTGCCCGGACGAGAGAGAGAGAGAGAGAAAAATAAAAGAATCTCTCATGCTCGCTCGACGGAAAAAAACACCGGACAGAGTCAGATCGATCGATTAAGCTGAATCGTGCCGAATGTTTACGCAAATATTGATTTACATCGCGAACTACGCGACTGACGTTTTTGTGTAAACACCGACGACACAGACACGTGCGCTTTATTTAATATCCGCTCGACGATTTAATATTCTTGCCGTCTCCCTTCCTTTCCTTCGCGTTTGTTGATAACGTCGATTTCGCTCGTTCTTTAATCTGCTATCGGAAGGGCGCGACGAGAGGCCGAGTGAAAGAGGGAAGGGAAGGGGAGACAAAAAGGGAGGCATGCAAAAGCGTGCATTAATTCATTCGGGGGCACATTGTATCGCGCGCATTGCACGTCAAATGCAGTCATCGCCGCTACCACTTTTTCCCTCCCGGGAGAGCGGATCTGACGGCGACTGCTGTCAGTCGGTTTCGTCGGGCGGTCCAATTATTTCTTTTGTCCCGTCACCACACTCGATAACACGCCATTGTTTAGACGAGCCTCCGCGTCGCGAATTAGGGGCCGCGAGTCGCGCCTTTAGCGGCGATAGCACAACGACGCAGAAGCGGACGAGCGCGGCGCGACGCTGCATTCTAAACCGCCGCCTCTAGTCGCTCTCATAACTATTGCAGCGATTCTATAACCGGCGCGAAACTGCCGGGAATCACTGCTCAATCGCCGTTGACGTCATTATTCTATATACAGGGTGCCCCTGACTCACATGGCTGCTCTGCGAGAACGATCGAGAGAACCGGATTGCTCAGGCGAGACGCCGCTCTTCCGTCGCTGCGCGTTATTCGGGACGCGTCGAAATTCACGCCGTTACGGCATTTCTCTTCGACTTCCTCCTCGTCGGAAGTAGACGCCCGTCTTCCACCGAATTTATCCGATTTTTGTCTCCCGACTGCCGCGACTTTAATTCGCGATCTTTTCTTTATTATTGAACATTCTGACGTTTCGCGCTGAAGGAAACGAGAGTACTGCGAGCGAAAGTCGCAGGACAATTTTATCGCCGCGGGACGCGTCAAAATTTTCATGGCGATAATCTTTTTTCTTTTGCGACCGACGAACACGCTGTTCTTCGATCGACGAATTTATTCGATCATCGTTTCTTCTCTTTCTGTCGCGATCTTACTTTGGTTTTTATATTAAGTATTTTGATGTTTCGTGTTAAAAAGAAAAAAAATATACGCGGGAACTGCGGTCAAAAGTCGCGAAAAGCCATTGGGACTTGTGAGCGCGAGTTCTCGATGAAGAAAAATTGAAACCGCAATTTTGCAAAATATTTTTCCACGGTAGAGAGAGAGAGAGAGAGAGAGAGAGAGAGAGAGAGAGAGAGAGAGAGAGAGATAGGGAGGAGCAGAGAAAAAGAGCACGATGTGTGATTTTTCGGACATCCTGTACGGAGCGATGAAACGGTGGTCGTTTGTGAACGTTCGGTTCTCGCACTTCGAAACGTTCGGCAGGTTGATCCTGCCGGAAATAACTTTATTTACGCGAGGCACGAATTACCCAACAGAAGGGAGAGGATATACAGAGTGTACCGCAAAAACTCGCATGAACCCGATAACCCGCGGTTTCGCATCCCGGCGCTATTAACTTTTAACGACGAGTAATTTTCGCTCGCTTCCAATTTTATATCTCTTTGGGTGCAATTTTCATAAAATAAAAAGAAAATTGTTTCGTTCGAGATATCCTCAGATGTCTTAAATATTTGTTACTTCAGTCTCGCGATGTGTCTTTATAATTATAATTCCTGCTATGATAAGAAAAGAAAGATTCAATTTATCATAACGAGCCTATCTTTGTTGATAGTTGAGTTGACATTTTTATTCCTAATTTTAATTTCAGACATGGTTCTTTCCCTTTTTCTTACTTTTCCTTTCTTCTTTTTTTTCAAGTTCATATTTGCGGATTTAATTGGCTTTTCCTCCCGCTGCAATTTCACGCGTGAGAAATTTTGCAGGCAACGGGGAATTTTCTGTAGGAAACTTCGCACACGCAGGGGCCGACATATACGAGCCGCTATATTGCACAATTTATTGGTTATTATCGGGAACGCGCATATTGCGGATGGACCATGTTGCGAGCTTTTGCGACGCTAGCTTCTGACAGGATAGCTCGCGATAAATGATAATCCGCGTCGAGGGAGAATATGCGTCGCCTCACTTTTCCAGTCTGAGTCATTCTCGAAATTATATGGCGCGATGAAATATCAAGCCCCTAACCCCCGAAGAGATAAAGAGACAATTTAAAGTCATTTTACCTTCTGTGAGACATTTTCCTTCAAGCATTCACAGACTTACATACTTAATCATAAGGAGTACATCGCTTTATTCATGAAAATGATTTTCTTTATTATGTATCCTCTCATTTTTATCTAGTCAAATTGAATATTTTATACGTCATCTGGTGGAACCGAGTTAATTTATAAAAATTACAAAAGTACAAACATTACAAAGTACAAATCAGTTTATAAAATTATGAAATGCATTACTATATCGGAATGAGATTGTTTGCGTTGATAGGATTGATAGGATAACAAATTTATATTGTATTTCGATACGTGGGTGTAACGACACTTTTTGCAAAATCAAACGGATATTTGTATTAATTGTCATTTGGTAACAATGAAACTTATATATATGAGATGTAAAAAAAGGAATTCTAGACGTGCAGAATAGATAATATACATTGTGGAATTCCTTTTTAACACCCTGTATATGTATGTATAGCACGTGGATTTTAATGTTTATAATTAAAGTAGAATAATAATACGTTATAATCTAAAAAGTTTTTTTCATCTTATCAATACGTGAGAAAGAATATCTTATTTGCATGTTATTGGAAATTATTATCTGTGACAATTTAATTCACATATCTCTCTGCATGAATCGTCATTATCGACAACGATTGGCGACGTTGAAAGTAAATCCGTGTTTGTTGCTTCTATGCGGATGTAAGTGATTGGCAGACATCAAATGTCGCGTCAAGGTCAACAGGTAAGCATCGCGTTGACGAGAGAGCGAGAGGGAACAGAGCAAAGAGAGAGAGATAGAGAGGGAGAGGGAGAGAGAGAGAGAGAGAGAG